TAGTTAACACCACGTTGATTCGATGATTGTACACGCACGGTGAACGAGGAAAGTATTCCTACAGGAAAAAGAACGAAACACGTAACGCGATCGACCAAAAAAAAAAGATTCGTGTGCGGTTAAGAATATATAAACCTGTCATTATGGCGAATGAAAAGAGCCTGTCTACGGGGAAATGATTAAGTAGCATAGAAACACTTTCCTCGTATGATACTTAACAATATTATGATTATTACTTTAAGTTTCGACTATGAAACTAAGATAAAAAATACATTGTATTTATGTACACGAATACCATCTGTGTGTTTAGGTCATTTTCACAGCATTTCTTATCGTTTCTATTTTTTATAGAGTGCAAAATAAAAATTCGACGCTTCGTTGAAGCAATGCTAACGAACTTGCCAGTAAGGCTGACCCAGCAAACATTGCCTTAGTCGCGGCTGGATGTTGACCGACTCTAGCTTCCGAGTTCCTGAGTCAAACTTTTAGCAGTGACCTAACGGTGTTAACAACGGCCATTTTGCGACGAACAAAGGAAGAGACAAAAATAGAATAAATATTGTATCGATGATCTCCACTAAAATAAAATCTTTTTTCCGACTCTATCTTACACGTATCCTTACACAATTCTGTACCACGAGAATAAACGAGCCAAAAACGAACTAAATATAGAATTTTTTTGCAATCCACGAAAGGTGTGGCCGTTAACAAGGTGTTGATATCTGCCATCGTGCTCTCCAGTAACACAGACGTCAAGAATCGAGCCATTTTGAAAAATTACCAGCGATAATTGTACGCGCGCGATAAGGTGCAAGTTACGCGAGTGAAATATCGCCCGGTGGAGGGAACGACGACGGAGTTTTATAAAGTAGCAGTTTTCGTTTTGCAGCAATTGATCCGGGGTGACTTAAGTTTCTCGGTGATTACAGAACGACGAGGCTTTAATTTAATCCTTCGCGATGTTAAGGGTCGTAAACGAAACCGGTTGCATCCAGCTCGAATGAGCGTGGAAAGCGCCCGACACCGCTAGAACCGCGCGCGTTCCCATGATGATTTTTCCATGGCGCGCGAAAAATCGCGACCAATCGCGTTTGGCTGGTAAAAAAAATTCAAACGACCTCGTGGTGCGTTGCTCCAATTCGCCGTGGGATCGGCAATACGGGTCTTGAACGACAATTTCGCGCGGTTCGCGGTGCAACAAGAACATCCTGTTTGGCAATTGCAGCCGATCTAGCCGCGGCACGTTCCACGATGCGCTTTCGCGCATGAAAATCAGCGGTGATCGAATTATTTTCACCCGATCCGAATACGCGATAGGAATCCGCTTTGCTCGATCGACTATTTCCACGCGATCTATTCTTAGCAGAATCTTACTTTCCATACTCGGTGCCAATTATTTTTCAACGAGAACAACGACGGTGGGAAACAAAAAGTATTTCGAAACCTGATATAAATGTACAAAAGCTGATGACGAGCGTTTGTAAAAGTTTGCTTGGTATTGGAACGTACGAAATTTTGTTTCGATTTTGAGATTAATTTTGATTGTTGAAAGTGACCAGAATAACGATTTCGAAACGATTGAATAATTCGTTTAAAAAATGCTTGCTGCGACTACTAGTGTTACATTACTATTTTCCATAATGTGACATGTACAAATGGCGCGAGCAATGTACGTACTTGTACTTTCGGATAGAAGGTAGTATCTAACGACCAGTTCGGTATACACTTCTCACCAATTAGTAATAAATTTCTCTCGAGGTAAAATGATAGCGCTGTTAATGGATGGCGATTAGTTAACGATACGCGGCATTTGTATCGAACCGGTTTCCCCTGGATGCGTTTCTTATCGTTCAAAACAGGGCGTATGGCTCTCGCGAGGTTGCGTATAATTTTCTAAACGAGACGCCATTTTTCCGAAAATAACATTAAAAGTATGCGCGAACGACCCACTAAACCTGAATTCTAACTGTGTCAATGGGCGAAATTATGCATGCACATCCGGCAATACAGTATCTAGTAGGTGGTCACTTACATCCTTCTTTAACACGCATAAGCGGAAGGGGGGGCGTCGATCGATGATACGTTGCTAATCAGGCAATAGAGCCTAACCGGTACCGAGCAATGTAAAATGGAAAGTGACGTAATTTTTAATTGCCATTCCTGTCTTCTGAATGTATTCCTCAAGTTCAGAATATTTATTTAATTATCGATACAGCTTCTGTAATTTCACGTGCACGAAAGATTCCGGGGGGGGGAAAAAAATTTTTTAATTTACAAAAATGTTATTTTAATCACGACACAATATAACTGAAGCTAAAAATTAAACTATTGAGAAACCATCTACGAATTTGAACAGAAGGGAACAAACATTATTCGATTAAAAATTGACTATTCTAATAGACTTAGTTCAATTTACCAGTTTCAAAGAGCAATTTCAACAAGATCGAGAGAACTGCCAACGTTTCAGATTATCCAAAAGTAACAAAACAAAATGCAGAAACTAATGTGGATTCCAATCACGGAAACCGATCTGATCTGACTGAATTGACGTGAGATTAGACGGCCAATTAGAAGATGATTTAACACGCGCCAAACGGTTCGCGAAATGTAAATCGAATATCGATGGTTCTTTTCTGATCCGCGTAGAAATGGCGCCGTCGTATCAATGGCATTAATCGGTAATCGCAACACGTAAAACGGAAAGTGACGCAACTCTAAATCTCGCGGGATGTTGTCACGCGCGTTGAGCTGTTCCCAAACCTGTTGGTCGTTGCGTTGCAACGAGAATACCTCGTTTGAATAGAGCATACGAATCCCTGCGTCCGTGATGTGATCCTGACCTTTCGTTCAGGATACATCATCACCCCCAGGGCTTGCACGTCACAATGAGACAGGATTGGAATCGAACGGTGGGTCACATTACTCCGTGCGAATCCAACGAGAAAAATATTAGCGCGTTGGCCTTCGGGAATAGAGACTACTCGATCTTGATTGCAATCAGGTACGCGAAAATTAGACAACCGTGTCTTACTCATTTTATTTGATTGCACAAAAGCATAGCATACAAAATATTCGAGCAACGATCAAAATTGGCATCTACTAAAATTTGTACGAAAACTTTAATTAATATTTACAATGTAATCGATAATTGATTTGAAAAAAAAATCGCAAGAATGCCTGTTGGATGCAACAGATTAACGAAACCGACTTCTCGACTATTAAGTGTAAATAACATCGAAGATAAAAAAGCACTACGAGTAACGGTAGCTTGGAGTCGGTAAGCTCGTAAAGTACACCTTAATATCATAGATCCCACCGTAGCGTGAACGGACATTTAATATTTAACGCGGATCCCGTCTCGCGTAAATTTTTATTTGTCCGCCTATCGTGTTACTAAAAATACATTTAACGCTTGTAAGACGATTTTCAACGTGAGCCTTGTTCATATTTATTATTAGCCCGTTCGAGTAGAAAGCACTGCACAGGATGCTTGCGTGACATATTTCTTGAACAATTTTAAATCGTTGCCATCAGACAATTCGAAGGCGACGTTCTATCGTGATGCATCGGTTCCCGGGAGATTTCGAGATACGATCGTGACACGTCGAATGCTCATGAATCTCGCGTAACGTATTCCATTCAGCAGATCTGCTATTACGATTTATCAATCTTTATCGTTCGTGGATCAATCTGGCCTTCGATTGGTAAGATTTACGCACTGGCGCACCACGAATCGATCTTGGACTCGCTCAAACGACCAGGAAGAGGATTCAAGGTCGAAGATCTCTCGCCATTTTGCCAACTATGATTATCTGTTCGAAGAGATGTTCTTGACGGCGGCGTACCGTTCGTTGGCCAGAGAACACACCCAGCTTTCTTCGATTTTACTTTAAAATTCAAAGTTTCTACTCTGTCTTTATTTTTTAATAAAGAAAAACTGCACTGTGTCATAAATCGTGGAGCAAAAAACAGATTTATGGAAGATTGCCTCTTAAAAAAATATGCGTACAAACTTTAAAATTGATATATGCGATAATTTTCTGGAAACAAAGAATTAAGCTGTTTACGAAGAGTCACTTCGTTCAGGAGATATTTGAATTTCAATATTGCAAAGCGGTACCGGTAATACGATTGTTTACCTTCTTCGAGTAGACGTTCGAGAGTCCTCCAATCCGAATGCAAAGGTTTAGTCGGTTTCTAAATGGTCTATCGATTTATTTTAGCATGTCTGTAGAGATTTGTCGAGGAGCTCTCTCATTGGAGAATTGTATTTTTTAAATATCCCTGTAAGAGGAATCCAAGAATATCTGGCGATCTCGTTGAGAATGCAATAGCCTCGTCCGAGCCAGCGATTACGATACTTTGCATTCGTGCCTGGAACTGCACGATGATAATGAGTAGAAGCAGAGTCTTGTCGGAACCACATTGTCTGGGTTGCTAAGTCGACGTCGCGCGGAAGATACTAAAATTTATACCCGAACGAAATAAAGGTAAAGAAACGTGAAACGATAATATCTCCATTAAGAAGACCACACGGCGAGCTGTGGAAATACCGTGCGCCCGGAGACTTAAAAGTCGGAATAATGAAAATTACGCTACCTAGTACGAAGAGAAACATGGATCTTGACTCGTTTGCTCGATATTGAAATCGCGAAAGACTCGAAAGTGATCTGTTATTGTGATTAATTTTTTGTATCAGTTATTTATTACTGTTCATACGGATAACGAAGGATGAAAGGGACGAGGAGACGAAGGACAACGAAGAATCCTGGTAGCAGGACGAAAAGAAGGCCAAATCGGTTTCTTAGAAAGTCTCCAGAAGGATGTCCTAATAAGCGTCGTTCCGATTGCCGAAAGTAAAGGAAGATTTTACTTTTTGCTCTGATATTAACGGAACGATGTTAACCCCGAGGGACCTCTCCGTGGCACAGACTACAGACTGAAGGGTAGAGGGGACCGCACTATAAAGGAGCGAGCCCCGTGCTACGGGGGCTCAGTACCGTTCAAAGATGCAGGCTGCCGAGATGCTGCGTGGTACCAGGGCATACGTCTACCATCTTGTGTTCCTAATATCCCTCTCTGTTGATTATGTCCGTGAGTAAAAGGAATATTCGAAACTCCCGCCGTGAACGTGCTATTCCGAATCTACATGGTGCTCGATTAAACCTACCACGCGGGTCCAAGTGATACACATGGTGGAAACGAACAATTTCGTATTAAGATGTTTTGTGTGACCGTGTACGTAATTGTGATTGATTTTCGATCGAGTAATGCTCGCGCGTTATAATGGAAACACCGATACGACGGAAACCAAGCATACGAACCGAAGTAGTCGATAGCTGGGAAAAGTGTGTACAGTATTTGGCATTCAGATGGTCTGGAAATTATTACGATAGACCGCGAAACCGAATCCGTTGGACAGTGAATCGAAGTTGTTACTTGTCGAGTTGATAAACGGGGGAAAAAAATTGTGTGTAAATAAATGTTGTACGCGCGACACGTATTCGCCGAGCTGTTAGATCGATACTATATTTAAATCTATCATGGGATACTATTTCGATAAACGGTGAAGCTCCCGATCAGAAATCGATTCGTAATCGTTAAAGATATTTCATCGCCACAGGATACGTATCTTTCACGATGAAAGTCTATTTGCAGACTGCAATCATAGTACATATAATCGTGTATTACCATGCTTCAAAGGCTGCCGCTTCTTTAACGTATCTTTAACTCGATCTTAATTTCTTATAGATCCATTACCACTCCAAGTATTACCTAGCATCCCGGGTTATATCCCTGTTTATATAAGGTACGGGGATCAGCCATTGGAGGAAATAAATCCCGCATTAGCAGAGGCGTTTCGCGAAGGATCGAGCTTACCTAAGGTGAACCGAATCAATTTCATCGTTCAATCTACTCCGCGATAACTTGTTTTCTTTCTCGTTAAAGACTTTATCGGGGCTTGAAAAACTATATATTAACGTCGGTACTTAATTTACACTGTTTTGTGACGTCGAAGAAAACATGTCATAGTTTACGAATTGCGAACGAAAGTTTGTAAAATTAATTCTTCGTCTGTTTGGAAACAATTTACAATTTCAGAATTAACAATTCGATGAATCATCGAAGAACAATATCAATTTCTTGACTGAGGCTTTGTTAAAAAGTTATTAAAAAATTGAATAAAAAAATTTCAAATCGTTCTGAGAAAATTATTTTTGTCTGCGGGGGTCAATTACAATCATTTTCGGTGAATAGACATACCCTCGAAATCCTACCCACTTTCGACAAAAAAATTCGTGTAGATGTAAAATTTTTCAAATCGTTCTAAAAAAATTATTTTCGGTTGCAGGGGGCGATTACAGTAATTTTTGGTCATTACATATGCCCTCGAAATCCTACGCATTTTTGAGAAAAAAATTTCTTACCGAAAATCTAATGTGAGGCTAGAAATGGTTCGCCAAAATTTCATACGTATCTTTAAAATGTCATAACTTCTGAACGGATTGGAGGATTTTCATGTTTCGAACGGCAAACAACGCGTATTTTAGTGAAGAATATGTAAAAATTCCAAAAATATTCGAAAAGTTGTTCCTTCACTCCGTAAAATCAGAAATCCCCCATAAAAGTGGTCCAATTTTCAAACGACCATAACCGCTACAATAGTGAATATATTTTAATGAAATTTATTTCTGAAGTAGAGCTAATGGGTACCTACAAAACAGTATTAAACAACTTTTCTATAGGGCGTCAAACAAAGTTACTAAAAATCAAAAACTAATTTTTAAGAGAAATCGACAGGAGGTAGGTGTCTAAATTTTTCGGCGAGAAAAAAAGTTTCAAATCATTTTGGAAAAATTATTTTCGATTGCAAGGGTCAATTACAATCATTTTTGGTGAATAGACATACCCCCGAAATCCTACTCACTTTCGAGAAAAAAATTCAGTACTGGCGGAACTTTAAACGTTAATAACTTTTTAAGGAAACCTCGATCAAGAAATTAATATTCTTGATTTTCGTCCTATTTTGGCCTCTACGCCCTGTATAAAATAATAATAAACTGATATCCAGCCTTATTGCTTAGTGTTTATCCCCTCTACTTGTCGACATCGTGCAATAAACGAAGCTCTCGTACAAAAATCGAGGTTCTACTGTACCGACTATAGTTCTTAACATTTCTCTTCGCAGAAAATACGAACAATGACCACAATTTTCAGACGTAATCTTTCCAGATTCTAAAGCCGACTTCTTCGACGATCAACGAAAGTTTTTAACGTTACTTTGCAGGTCAACTTAGCTAATATCGACGGACCCAGTGATATAAGCCTCGAAGAAGACGGAGCGGACAAAAACAAAGTGGAGGCTATACACGTCAGACAGGTGGATAATAATTTCGCTACGGAAGACGAGAAGGATAAGGAACCGGCAGAAGTATCGTCAGATACAGAAACATCGAAACGGAAAACAGTCTCTCAACCAGTGGTCAAAGTATGAATTCTATTCGTTCGAATCTTTCCTAGCAGCTTCGCTATAATCGAAGTGACGTTCGATCATGTTTCGCGTCATATATCACCGATCGTATTGGAATGCTAATGCTAACAAAAACGGGTATTATTTCTCGGTAATTGTATGCAGACTGATGACAAACGATACGACAGTACCGAGAAATATCAATACCCGTGTCATTGTATTCTATGCGTGGCTTCTGTAGCGTATTTTCAATTGACGTTCGCGCACAATGGCTAATCTGAAGATGAAATCGATGACTCATTAAATTGTCTTTTCAACTCATCGTATTACAGCTATAAATTAACACCGTCAGAGAAGATCCTTAATATATTTAAGATACACATCTGCTTAGCTTAACGAACAGAACTTAGCAACAAACCTGATCCTCTTGAAAGTTAAATTGATCAACTCCACAAAATAGACAGTAGAGAATATTGATAATATTTACATTGTTTTTTAAAATTGAGCTGAAACCGAGAAATTTATAATATCTGAAAACATATTGATATTCAACGCGAAATGTTGTTTTCTCGATAAGAATCACACGAAGCATTTTAAAATTTTAATCGAATTAACAATTAAATTTGTCGTTTCGTTTTCAAGGTTCTTCCATTGACCGAAGAAGAAAAAGACGCTCTGGATAAATTCAAAATCGAAATCAAAGAGGAGACGAAGAATTCGAACAGTGTGCACGATTCGAGTTCGAATCCGTCTGAATTGTTGGACGAGCCACATCGCGAGGACGTACGACCGTTTAGTCCGGTTGTGAAAGTCGATCAAATCATTACCGACGAATCAGTCAAACCGGATCTTCACCTAATCGAGAATGTGCCGCATTCTTCCACGGACGAGGGTGCCCCAGCGTCCACACTTACAGACGAAATACTACCTGTTAAGGAACAACGTCTTCCGAACGTTCTATCCAACGTTCACAAACTGGCCATCTCTCCCGAACTGTCTCACCAATTTGAGAAGGAACGGATAGAGAATCAATCCTTAGACGAGAAATCAAAATGAAACGCACACTTCATAGTGAGATTTATTTAATATGTAGTAATACGGATAATCTACAATTTTGTGATAAATACTTGTTTAATAGATCTTACGAATTCTTTTTTTTTCTATCACCTAGCGTTACGAATCGAATTACACCGATTGTACGTTGTTGAGTTAAAAGATTATTCGCAGTTTATACCCGAATAAAATACATCGAAGGTTCGAGATCGAATCAAATAATTTCGAAATCCTTTGGATCGATGAAACCGGTTTATTTCGTTACGAACATTACAAAGGCCAAAACACAGCAATTATGCTTTACACGTATCGTTTGTTTAACGAAAGATAATAAATCCAAAATTATCACCGGGGCGTTCGAACTTCCTATAAGATACGATTACTTGCGCGATAGTTTCTTATCGATTTCCTCCCGGTCGATTGACTTTTCGTTTGTATTCGTATGCATCTGTATTCTATAATCGCTGTTGTAGTCGTTCGCGACGTTTAGAACGAGCAGGGTTGGTATGATGCTCACTTCGTTGCTCCTGGAAACCTTCTGCGGATACTTTATGTTATTTAGAGTATTCTCGTTCACGTTTATAGTTAAATACCGTCGTCGATCTTGAAGGAATCTCGCGCTCGATATAATGAACGTATTATTTCCAAGCACGCAACCAAAGGCTGGCAGGTTCTGTTTCACTTCCGGTATGTAAACGTCGCGAATCGCTTTACAATGGACGTTGCTCGGCGATTTGATCTGTTCCTTCGAGAAATCTTGAACGTTTTCGTTACTTTCCTTGATTCTTCGGTCGAACTGCGAGTTCCCGGTATTTCTCGATCCGACGTCGAACATCCTCGTCTTTAGACTGCGATCCTGCGATCTCTGATCCGGAACAGCCACTCGAACGTTAGCGATTCTTGACAGAGAAAAAATTAAGCACATCTCTTTGCTTCCGTAGGGACACGATTCTCCTAAATGATCGTTTCTCTTCAGTATTTTATGTTTTCTCTCGGTGAAATCTTCACCAGGATCCAGCGTCTTCGCGGTGTCGATCTTGGCCAGCCGATTTTCTATCGTTCTACCATCACCGACGAGTATAACGTTCGCCAATATCACGGCAAAGATGAATCGTCCGCGAAGCATTTTAACGAGAGCGTCTTTCCACGTTTTGTTTACTTCGCCCGTGTCGTTTCTTAGCGCGACCATATAGACCACGTAACAGCACGATGGACACTGACTGTTCCGGAAAAAACAAATGTTCCTGTGAGCGCACTGGCAAGCAAGGTGCACGAGGGACAGAAGATCGGACCGTTGTGTCTACACTATTGTTCATTTCGTGTGCGTTGACCTTATCTCCTGCGTGGACATCGCTCGAATACCATCAAATTCTGACCTATCTTTCGAAGAATTTCACTTCGACTTTAATCCTCCTTCCCGAAGGAAACGATACTTGGAAATCCATACATTGTCACGGTTAGAAACCAACTAGCTTGTGTCCTGATCCCACCGTCAGAAATATTAAGAAGAAATTGTATAAAGTGCGAGATTTTTTATAAATTTCTGGTAGCTGCGCGAGACCTTTAAATAAAAAAAAAAGAAAAGAAATTTTGTCGATCAGGAAATTTTCTCACATTATTTTAATCGTTCAATTACGGTCCTAATAGTTAAACACTTTAAATTAAGGATTTTACGTATTGTTCATTACGACTTTCTTCTTCTTTTGTTTCTGATGTTTTCTCATGTTTCGTCAATAGTAATAAATAACGAGCATCAATGGGACTTCATATTTAATAAAATATCGTTTTCTTTTCTAATTTACACGCGATTGTGGTATATTACATTGCCTGTGCCAATACTTTTGTTCGGGACTGTATGTATTAGATTTGTATCAGAATTAATTGCCAAATATGTAACGTAAACAAAAATGAGTCGAGTCTGAATACGAAAATAAAAGGTAAAATGTGTAATTTTGTTATTAAAATATGTATATTTGTTCGAAATAAGTTCAATATAAAAATATACGGTTTAAACTACGTCGATGATGTTCTCGATCTGAACATTGAAAGCTACTGCCCTCGCGTTGTGGTTAGTACAAACTACAAGTATCCATATTTAGAAAATTTTGCATCGCATTAAAAATTTGAGATTTGAACAGAACAGTCGCTAAGGTAAAGATTAAATTTCACGCGCGGGAATCATTATTCTTGTTTTAAATTTTCATATCGTATTACATGCATAGAAGTCGATAAGATGAATCACTGACACTCTAAGCGCGGCACACGTGCGCAATGTGATGTCAACAATTTGTAACGTAATATGTGAGACGTGCGATTTACGGTGCACGTATGCAGAGGAACCATGTACATTTTATTATTAATTACATACTGATGGCATGATGGTGTAATTTTGTATTAATTGCCAAATAAAAAGCAGAATTATATTGCGATAGAAATTCTTAATTTCGAAAGTATCTTGTGTATATTGGACATAAATACTATTTTTATAAACATTTTCATGGTTATTTCTTGCTGCGTTTATTGAAAACTTAAGGTAGATCAAATGTTTTCACAAGATTGTTACCAGAGGTTGCGAAAAGATTAAGATTCAGCATTAAAATGATACTTAACCTCAAAGTTTTCTAACCCTGTTGATTAATTCTTCCTATACCGTCATATATTAACGAATGTAAAACAGTGAAAAACTGAAATAATATGGCGGGTCAGCAACATCCTTTTCCATCTGGGTTTCCCAATGTACAACAATCTACACTGAGGACACAATTTGGTGGAGGACAAATGGTATCTGGTCTAATGGGACCACAACAAGGTGGTAAGAATTGCGTAATTAAGGGAGTAAATGTGAAACAAACTATAGCATAAGCAGATAAAATTTTTTTAGGTATGGTAAACCCTCAACAATTTGGAGTAGGTGTGGGTGTTGGAGTCGGAGTAGGAGGAGTAGGCTCGAATGCAATGGGTATGCCCAGTGCTCAACAAGTATTGGCACAGCAACAACAACAACAATCTGTTGCAATGCAACAACAAATGCAACAGATGCAACAACAACAATTACAATTACAACAGCAACAACAAGCTGTTATGGTACAACAGAATAATCAAACCAGTAATCAAGCTACAACTCCTCAAACACCGGTGCAGCCTACGCAACCACCACCTCAACAACAACAACAAAATAAAGAATTTAACACTGCTAGTTTATGCAGATTTGGTCAGGAAACTGTGCAAGATATTGTCACTCGCACTTTAGAAGTCTTTCAAACATTGAAAGTCTTACAACCACCAAATGGTACTTGAGATTTAAATGATACAATTTCTTTTAGCATATATCAAATTGCATTATTCGAACGAATGTCAAAATTTTAGGCATGGCGCAAGGAACGAGTTTAGCTAATGAAAAAAAGAATAAAGTACAAGAACAGCTAAGAACATTGAAATTATTATTTAAACGCTTAAGACTGATTTATGAAAAATGCAATGAAAACTGCCAACTTCAAGGTATGGAATATACACACATAGAAAGTTTAATTCCTTTAAAAGAAGAATGGGATATGAAGTCTGACGAGAAAAAGACATCCGAGGCTTACAGACTGGCTTGCGAAGAGAGCAAAGAAATTATGGAGGTAAGTAGAGATTTTGTTTGAAAGTACATAGTAAAATACGAAATATTAAATTTCACATGATATAAAATTAAATAAAATTTTTGCAGCAAGTTGTATTAAAGAATAGGCATCTTAAGGAAATCATTGATCACTTACGGCGCATCATTTCAGAAATAAATACAATGTTAAATATGCGTCGTTCTTGAACCACAAATTGTACATAAATATTTGTATAAGTTATTAAGAATATGTTAAAAAATAAAAATATTATTTCCTATGTAACATAAGAATACCAGTATTACTCACCAGTAATGGAAAACATTATTGTACAGTATTAATATCATTTATGTCAAAATGAATTATATCTGTTGCTCTCAAAACTGCTTCTGGAATCTTCCCTAATGGTGTTTCCAAATTACGTACATACACTTCTAAACAATTTACATCACAGCCTCTAAACTCAGCAGAAACATGGGTCTTTTCATGTAAATAAAATTCTGCTTGCTTACCTGTAACAGACAACAATTCATTTAACTTGTCACTTAAAAAGTATGAATAGTCTGCTGCATAAATACTTTTACGACATAATTATAAAAACTAGTATTTCACTTGTACAGCTTTCGTTAATGAAAATCAAATTTAACTTAATTTATGATTGAATATTCGCGCATTAGAAAACTACAACGTTAGTATTGGCGCCATATTTAAGCAATTTCGTGTGTAATTAAATGAACTTAACAAAAGGCGATGATGATCACAATTACTAAATACCAATAAGTTTATGCAGACATTAGATAAAGTTTTTTGTAGCATTAGATCCGATAGGAAGGAAATTGGAGTGGAAAAAGGAAGGCGTCGTACCAACAATTCCAGTAATCACTCGGAGAAATCGCTCGCGCAGAAATGCACGAGCTTCTTGTTTTTCCGGAGTCGCAAAATCTAAGTTAGTACTATTTTCATTCAATTTTACGTCTTCTTCAACTGTACCGGTCATTTTTTCAGAAATATTTTCCGGCAGCCAAGAACGGAGATTCCTTCAATGGCGGAAGTTCAGTGTACTACGGCGTAGTGTCGCTATCGTGCGCGCGAAATTTGAAAATCAAAATGTCAGTGCTCGATGCTGTAGATAAATACATTAGATTACATGTTAATACTCGTTTGAGCAAGACACATGTAAGTTATGTGAATTAAGCAATGAGAAGATGGAATACGATGATATAATGCAAACTGTTGTTGCTAAGTATTATTACCAACATAAAACTTAACGCGAAAGAAGACAACATTACAGTTTATGTACTTCTGTAAATTGGACATTTTCTAATGGAAACCCACATATCCTAATGAGGAAGTTTAGATTGACAAAATTAACATATTTTTAACGATATCTAAAAAACACACTTTCGCGAAGTGGAACATGAGGGCGACCCGCAGATTTTCATTTTTGTTAGACAGTCCCGTGGGTTTTCTCTTCACTCTCGTTCCAAGAATCGTGCAGTCACAATGAATCTCTTGTTCTTTCTGTTTTTAAGTACCACCGTCTGCTATCACAGTAAGTATTCGTCGCTGGCAATTAAAATTTGTAGCAAAAACCGAGTGTTCATATTTCAATTTTGATTACTTTTTAGGATTGTACTGCAATGCCGTAACTATGACCGAATATCTAAAAATGGATCACAAATCGATAGAGGCCTCAACTTTGAAGAACGATGACAGTCAAACCCAAAAGGAACAAGTTTCGAGGAAGGATTTACTATTGCCACGGCAGAAATCATTAAAAATTGAAGATTTAACAAAACTTGCGAACACGAAGGGTGTCTTTTCAAATAGGAAGGGCAAAATTTTAGGAAGTTTAGCATTTCTAGCTGGTTTAAGTGTCGGTAGTCTGTCGGGTGCGTCGTCAAACGTGAATACGTATGCCAAAGCTCCTCCAGTGAATTTAAATTTCGGTGCTTCAAGAATTCCTCCTCACCTTGCTGCGATTTACAATCCTTACCCTTACGTGCCACATCCTTATATTTTTGCCTCTCCTTTCGGGCTCTACCCTCTACTGAATCCGTTAGGATTACAAACGATCGACGGAGTGCAAAATGATTTTCAAACGTTGGCACAAAATCAACAAGCATTGAATCTGCTGGAGAATAAAAATCCAATCGATTTGTTGAACAACAATGATGAATATATAGAAGAGGCCAAAAAGGTTGAGAATGTCAGAACTTCGAACGACGTCGTAAAGAAGACTGATGAGAGTGCAGAATTACAGGTTGAAGACGATCGGAACGCGGAAGAGAAGGTAAGAATTCGGTAAGGCGAACAAATAGAAATTAATGGAGAAAACCACGTGACGTTTTATTATGTATCCCATTTCTTTAGTGGAATATATACCTCAAATCTATTTTAGTAGATAATATAAGAGAAATATTGTAGTATAAAATTTACTATTAACAGAATACATATATCTTATGTTACTCGATGTTAAGATTGCTTTATTCGTTGTTAAAATTTTATTTTTTCGTTTACGGTCGGCAGAATCCTGGCGTTATGTGTGATCTACAGAAAAAATTGAAGAAGAAAGAGAGCAATTTGAAAAGTGTTCTTAGAGAGCCTGAAAGTATCGATGGTTCTTCATTGTCACGTGACTCTCATGCACCGAATAGAACTTTTATTAAAGCAACTAACATCAGTGACATGAATCCAGAAAACAATACCGGTACTCCCATGACAATGAATTCGACGATGATTAATAACGGAACGTCAAACCCGCCTTTCTACGGGTACTATGGCGGATATCCACAAAACATAGAACACATCGATTTTACCACGGAAACGAGCGAATATCACGATTACGGGCACATTAATTACAATTTACCCTCTTACGACAAACCTGTGAATTTTTATTCGAACGAAAGGTATAATTATTATTCAAATCCTCCCGTTGATTCTTCTCCAACGAATGATTTCCATCAAGAACAAATACCAGAATACTATTCGAACGATTTCAATAGATTTTTATACGCGCCATACAATGCACCGTCATTTGCCAACAATGGATTCAGACCTGTTGCATAAAGTCTTATATCGTAACATGCTTTTTGAATATGATAATCGCGTTTATGGTAAAAGTGATGGACGAAGCTTTCTACTAATTAGATATAGGTAAAGTGAATTGTATTAAATAAATGCATATATCTTTTCTATTATATTTTCCATTACATTACCTTTCAATAATTTAATCTCTCCTTAATCCATGTCTTACATGTATGACGGTTGACTGTAAATAATTACGATCTTCATGCGTTATGGCAACAGCATTATTGACTATGCGCGACCCTTAGTAGGACACAGCGATAATTGCTGACTGTTCCATTAGATTATTGACAGAATTCTGATAGACAGCACTCTTTCGACCGGTATAGAAAACTGTTTAGAAAATATCTTTATTAATATGTGTTGTGAAAAAGCGAAAGTGTTTTTATTATTATTCGTTTCTTTAATGTGCACGTTTGACTTTCACGTATCAGCAAGTAAGTGTACAGAAGTACTGTTTTATACGTATTGCCTCTATTCGATTAAAAGTATGTCAAGCAATTTAGTAGGTTCAGTTTCATCTTGCCATATATTTTTATTTTTTGAGATCACTTATTTTCGCACAGAACTATTATTGTACATAGATAATTGATTAATTTGTGCTGTTATAAATTTATGATATGTTCTTTTAAATGTTTATAATTTTACATAAAAGTAGTTGCACAGCTTTCATTTTATTATTGCATCGAACAAAACAGTTGCTTGGTATTATTTGACGGTTATTTTTCTAGAAATATATACAATGATTCCCAGCCATAACGTCAGTGATTTATCGCGGGAATTAACGGCAGATTCACCATCATCTACAATCATTTCCACGACGTTCAATAAACATGAAAACTCATTATTTCATTCGGAGTGCAAAACAAATAACGAGATTCGTTTTGGGAGTCAAAATCTCAAAGGATATCGAAACAAAGGCGTGACATCAACATTTAACGATTCGAATTCGCGATCAAAACAAAACGACACAAAGTATCGCGGTGCAATTTTTACATCGTCGGACTCATATTTACTGAAATTTTTGTTCCAACGTTTGCAAAAGCGAAGTGCTATCGATAAGGACGATCATGCAGGAAACGATATGTCTAGAGGGAAACAAAAGAAAGCGAAAGCCTTGGGATTTTTATTGATGAATAACGATTCGACTAAAAATTACGAAGACATACAAGACGATTACGTCGCGTACGAAGACGACGATTATTCGAAAGGTGTGAACGGGAAGAAGATGAACTGGGAGGATTATGAAAACGAGGATGGAGCAAGCGTAATGGAGCTGATTGTTTTGGACGCGAGACACAAGAAACATAGACGAACTGCATACGACGACGGTAATCTATATTAATAATGTGCTTGTTGTTTTACGAAATTTGTACCTGATAATAATAAATTTTGCTCGTTTCTATATGACAGATAAAGCGTGATGTTTGATTTGTCAGTCTTCGGTTCTTAATCGACATAATAGAATTTAGTTTACGATCGTTGTATTGTATCGTTTGTCTTGGTCTTCCTTTTGACCGATGTACACACTGTCTGTGCAATGTACGGCCTAAGCATTGCCAATAAAATGTCACTACGTAACGAAACGTTTAGAAGTGTATTGTTACCGACGGTGTGCTTCGGGAATGTACGGTGCCCTTGATGATGTAATTCATAAATTAAGGAAATATATGACTGGCTGGTCTTTGTGAAATACAGCTTGTTTGGACAATTGCAGCGAATGGATTACACAGTTGCTCCCGGTTGTTTTCGCCGTCGATGGCTAAAAAGAAGAAGAAAACGAGGAAGAAAGAATCATTGAATCGCCAACTTGTGTCTCATTGTCGGAATAAAACCCGACGATAAAACGCAAAGCATAGTCCTGTTTTAATCGTCGATTAATCAGTGAACTCTGCTGTCAGATGCGACCAATTGGACTGCGCGGCTCGCAGGGAAGAAACCTGTTTTATTTTCGGACGAGTTTGGAGGGCTGGGCTTCTCGTCTATTTCGAGAAGGCCGTCACTGCTGGTATTGTGTCTCTAAAGACGCGGATACTTTGCAGCTTTCACGTATAATTTTTCACAGAGAACATTTTTCCACCGTTCCCCATTCGTTGTTTGCTCGATCGAGCCACGATCGAGTTCCTAAATATTACTTTTCATAAATAATTTTAAATGACGTTTCAAATACTAAACAGCTATTTATATTAGAATTTTTCTTTACTATTCTGCACGGTCGTACGAACAAAATATTACTGAATTATTAAAATTGTCTAGTGATGTCTATCGGTTACTGACCACCCATTTAACTGGGGAATTGTATTTTTACGTTTAGAATAGTATTTGCGGTATAATAACATATTACATCATCTCTAATTTCACAACTTTATATTGAAAAACATTCCTTTAATAACATTACAAATATTTAAATAAAATTATGTTTCTGACTGGTTTTTGAGCGCATAGAAGTATTATCGTACGTATAAGTATTTGTTTTGTCTTCACGAGACTAAATGAATTAACTCGTTCAAATAATTAAAGAACATTTAAAAAACAAATTCGAAGAGAATCTTTCCTTCGATTCGCCATACGTTTTTCAGCGATTCGATCGAACCAGACGAGGCAAAAATCAATTGGAACTTTCACTGACACGATTATAACAATTTCGCCAGTTCGTATTATGGTTTCGACTTAGCGTGCGAGCAAGACGCGCGAAACTACTACTTGGTTATTTCGAAGCTTAATACGTGTATCGAGGTAGACCCGAGACCGAAACAATATTGCGTGCGTGATTATGCAATAAGCAAATAGGAAATGATCGACTTCCTTCGTGGAAGCGTTAAATTTTTCTTCAGGACGTTGATAGTGTCGAAACGTTTCGTTAATGGATATTGTCTACCCAGTAATGCCATAGGTTATTTGTCGTATGAATAATCAAAGTTCAACGCCATTCGTAACGCGTGTTTAACACGTCGAGTGCAGGGCAAATTTTTCACATCATTAAGCCAAACAGTTTACTAAAAAATAAAGACAGATTGTTCTCGCCTGTTAACGATCATATTAATTGAACGAATCGTACATATTGCGAGTCACTGGTCGAAACTAGCTACATTTACGTTCGATGAAGCGCCATAACTTTATCAAAAATACGAACTCGTAACGTTTCAACGTATCGGATTTCATTGCATAGCTTTCGATTGGTCGTCGAGAATGTATCTATGCGATCGGATTAGACCGTGTCTCTTTAAGTCTAAATATATACCGGGTGTCAGGGTTGAATGGCCTAGGATTTCCGGTCTTCATCGTACGAGCTTTGGTTTTCCGTTTTTTTTTTTTTCTACTTTCAGCACAAGCACTCGCGTCTCTTCGTCCCTCGACAACGTTCTCCGTGTCGCCATCCTCCTCCACGCCGCTCACGCTTTTTTTCCACACGAAACCCAATAGCCTTGCATCCTCTAGGACACTTCAGGACTATTTCCTGCGTGTCAGACAAGCCGGATGGGAAACCGCAAATGTAAACCCCCGTAGAACACACTCTAGTGATACGATAAACGAGCGATACAATTTCGTACCAAAATTCACAGAAGCAACGATCGTGGAGCCATTTTGTTCGAACGAAATCGTGCAACGTTGCAAGTTGCAGCATTTTGTTCATTGAAAGTTCACGAAACGTTCGAACGATTTAAAATTAAACCGTAACAGTCCACAACGTCTTTCCGGTAAAATTTTAGCCAGTTTTCAAGAATCATTTAAAATTATTAAACAATAAAAATGCTGATGATATAGAAGAAAGTACAGCTTTGATCGATGTCGAATATAAAGATGTTTATTGCGTCAGAATTGTGTATAGTACTAAACGAAGTATCCAGTGAAAAATATATGTATTTATGTTGTTCTGAATGCCAGCCTGTAAAATAGCGAACGATCGATCGGAATTTAGAAGCATCCGCTAAAACTCGAGGCGTACTGCGTATTTCGAAGTTTATCAAAGGGACACCCTGTCCATAAACAATAAGGGTGTCGGTTCACCCTTTCAAGGCGCGCGTCTTGACGTTCCTTTAAGGGTGCGCCTCATCGAGTATGCAACCACGTAGCAACGAGCATATATAGTAGATATACCTACGAAATATGCCATGAGCACACGCGTTTTGAACCTGGTGCACGTGTACACGGAGAACAGCTCGTTCTGTGTGGTAAATGCACCACGCTCGGGTAAGAACCCCGGCTTCACGTATGAGGGACGACAGAGGAGAGAGACAGCTGTGGGGCAGCTGGCAGCGCGTGCCACGAACCTATGGGGTCTCCTTCAAACGCGGACGACGACGATATCCTATACTTTGTGACACGTAACTAACGGCATGTTTCGAACAATGCGACGAACAGAGGTTGCTGATCGTCCAGCGTCGAGGAAGAGGTTCGTCAAATTATAATTACCGTAATAATGCACGGTGCCACTTGACAGTACCACTTTCAGTTGATCATTTATTGTCAGAGATACCCTGTATATTGATTCGAAGCTTCCAAAGTAGCCATTCGATGCAAATACGTTTCGTTTAGCTCGCGGATAAAATGCACCTTTATGAACTGGGAACTCGAAAGGATACCAGTGACGGGGAATACTTTCAAAATAATCATTCTCGCGAACAGGGAACGTACGATAGATGAATTATAATTTGACTTATGCTCGATATTATTCTGGAGTTGTTAATATTAAAACATACAACGAATTTGTTTCGCATAATTCCTTAAAACCCGGAAGAACAATCATGACTGAAATATATTGCAAACGAATTCAAGAAACGCGTGTGAAATCACCAATGGAATAACATTTTGCGCAAGAACGTAATAAATGAAATGAACTTTTATTCACCAACGGAGTATGATTTTATAATTTGAACATTCTTCGTACAGTAAATTCATTATTTTCTCTTGGACTGCTATTTCTGTGTATTTTTCACCCTCGAGCTCGAGGGTTGAAACTTTATAACAAAGAGATTGGTTAAATCTGACTAAATTGTCGCGTCTTTATTATATCGACACCTTTAATATTTTTTACGTCAACGCCCAATACTTTTGTCCCTCTTTGTTTAATTTGTTCCTCTTATTTGTGGAAAACGCATACAGGCCATCGGTATTGTGCGAGATTGAACGGGACGTTGGGCTTCCTTCAAAGTTTTTCACCCGTTCCAAAGAAAAGAGATCAGCGGGTTCAAAACCTTCGGGGGAGCGTTTCAGGCTAGTGAACATCTGCTGTCGTCTGCAACGATAATAATTCGAACAGCTGATACTTCTCGACGGACCACCGCCTTGCCTCACGGATCCCGTAGGATCGTTTCGACCCGAGCGCTTTCGAAGGCTGCCGAAAATTGTGGCAACGTCCTGTCGTTCCTTCCCATCGCGTTAACCGTCTTGTTGTATCTTCGTCGTGGAATTTTTAGAATACGCGAGAAAGTAGTGATATGCAGCGAGAAACTCCGTGTACATAAAAATTACCAGGCAGTAAAACACGGACTCGGTACAAAATTTATTTTCGATACAACACTTTCCTCGTTTATTTTACTCGAGTACTCTTTATTATCATTTACGGTTAGATAATTGCATAATATACTGTAAAATATTTGTATCGTATTATTTACTTAAACGAAAATTATTTCGACGTAACGAAGAACGCAACGAAAGGTTCTCCTAAGTCGCTGAGAATGGCGTAAATTTTCGTAACGAAAGTTTTCACAGTCCGCTGTCAATGATTAATAAAAACTCTGAAATTCTTTTTACGGGTCGAAACGACGAAAGATTTGTCAACACATCGTCAACGTGGCCAATTCTATTTCGTTCGTCCCTCGTCCTGGTGCCGTTGCGCTACGCTACTGGCACAACGCGATGGTGGGGGTACGGGATGCACCAATCAAAGGAGAAACCGCCGAGGGACCCGGCGAACTGGTGTGCAGCACGGTAACTTAAAGGTAGTTCGGTACTCGCACGTGGGCATTCGTTCGTGTCGGATGTGTGCGCGCAGGGAAAATCGCCAATTGTAAAGACATCATCAGTTACCCACGTACGTGTCCGGCAATAGTGTAACCCGCGGTAAATTTGCATATTATTGGACGCGAGAAATTTCGATAGAAGTTACGTTCGGCGCGATAACGACTGAAAAACGAAAACTCCCGTCAACGCGAGCAGCTGTTGTCCATGTGTATTGTTTTAACTGCGACGTCGATTTTTATCGTCGATTCCTAAACACTGATAGAGGAGTTTACTGGTGCGAGTACCTTCCTGGTGTTTTTTTCGTTGGGATTAACTACGATATTACAGTGCATCCAGCAACGACGGTCCAAAGGAACGAGAGGTATAGAAGAGTTCTTATTCTGCACGAATATTTTGTCGGAACCTCGGTTGCCCAATTGCGCTCGAGCGGGTTCGATATTCTGGCGCTTTGGCATGATATCATTAGAACGGTCATTAAGAACGCGTTAGATTGCACAATGGAAAATAAATGGCTCTTTCGAGAGTTGTGAAATTTATTCTCCAGCCGTTCGAAATGTAATCCCTTTAATCTTTTAAGTTAAAAGGTAGTAAAACGTTCGTTGGCGTTAAATTTGGTCGAAGGTTGAACCGTGCCGGTGACACGACGCGGGATCCCATCGCGCATTAATGAAGTCTCGATGGTAATCGGGCCACGCGGAACATTTCGGACGGATTACAACGCGAGTCTGGAAATGCTGTTTACCCGATGGCCAAATGTTTCGGCGAGGCCGTTTCTCGCACGTTCGTAAAACTATCTGCTTATTCTCGCGGTCGCTCCTCTTTCACCCCTGCTGCAAGCGGTCTCGTCGCGACAAAGGGGTACACGACGACGGGCACGTGTACCACGACGTTTATTAATAAACCTCGACGTCGGCTCGACGATTTCTCTTTAGCAGAAGGCCTGGAAACGTGTGCAGGTGATTACAGTCGTCTGGCGTGAAGAACCAGGAAAACATAATTTCGTTCGTTATTTTCTTTCCATAGTACGAGCAATTGTCATAAATAGCGTACAACCAATTAGCGATCGCGATGAAAACTACAATTCGAAACCGATTTAATTGTTGCAATAGTACGGGACAGTGATTCTCAGTGTGCCCCTCGAAGTCTGCGTATAAAACATTTTTCTCGTTTTATCTTATACTCGTTGCAAATAATAGAAAAGTAACTCGTTCAATTTAGATTTATTCAACTTTTACATAGTTTGATCAGGCAATAGTTCTATCTGTAAGAAAATTTTTTAATACTATTCAATACACAAAACTAATTTATAATTAATTACTATGTCAGTCAATATTAATAATTTAATTAAATCCAAGATTTGTTGAACGTACACTTTTTTTGTTAAGCAGTTAACTTATATTAAAAGAATATTAACAAAAGTTCGCTATAGGGTGTCTCAAATATTTTCCTTTATCGAGTTCGAAAGGCGAGGTTTGAGAAACACTGATACGATGAATTAAAACATTACAAAATTTATATAACAGTGTGGGGTATAAAAATATTATTCGAAATTAAAAATAGCCGATGGTTTTACAAAATTTTGAATTTTTGAATATTTTCATGAATCTGCTAGGAACACTATTAAGCTGCAGTAATAAATATCGGAGTATGTATATGGAGACGCAGAATTAGGTTTCGAACGTTAAGGAATACACTGGTTCCAGGGTTCAAGAATAGCGTAGCAATGAAATTTACGTAACTTCCAGTATTAGATTCCAGAACAACAGGTTAATGGGTGGGTGTTGGAAACTTGAACATTCGTACGACGTTGTTTCATTCGTGCACTAATACTTTTTACAGTACTTTTTCCCTCCCTATCGGTGGTTAAACAAAGCCCAGGCATACCCTGGTGTTTTCTGGAACTCTGGCCTTTGCGACTTTGGCCGAGAAGATATTTTAGTTAGTTTCGTCGAGCGCGTGGCAATTGGCCAATGTCGTATGCGCGAGGCTGCTCCGTGATCGGAGCGTGATTTCGTAGTCTTTCGCGAGTCTATCGGAAATTATTTCTGCGCGAACGTCTCGATACTCGATATCTTCGATGACAGATTATACCTCCTGCACTCGCAGTCGACAGAAAAAAAATCGGATTATCGTTTTTCGCAGACTTTGTACGGGATCTATTTTAATCTATCGCCTCCGTAGCCGACCGAGTAACGTTTCCCACTGAATTTAGCGTAAGAAAATTTTCGAGGAATATTTCCTTTACACGGAATACACATTGCCCCGGCCCTGGAGTGCAAACAATTTCTTAGAATTCAACGGTTCGACTTATTTATACTCGACGACGCTTATTCCCGTTGATTTACGAGACATTGTTGACTCCCCCCATGGCCGTTACAGCGACACGTCTTATTACCTGAAGGGTTGGAACCTTCCCCCCCCCCCCTCTCCCCTAACATCTTGTACCCTTGCGATACCCATTGAAAAGAAAGCTAGAAAAATGTATATCTATGTTACTACACGTGGTTCGCCACAGTAGCGTTGCCTGCGTTTCTTTTCTCCGCGTATTATAAATATTAATTGATTTATGGAAATCGTGAAACGCTACGATCGCTCTTAGAAGAATCGTTTTATTCGACATGGTGCGAAGATTCTTGTGCACTGAACCAAATGCACAAACGTTCCCGTTTTAAATAACTTTCTAATTTTGAATGTTGCTCGGATCTCTTGCACACAAGCGTCTTCGTCTTTAAAACCTGGCACTGAACTACCTTTTTACGATTGTTTGGTCTCGATGGTCGCACTTCCGTTTTCCTTATTTTCACGTAAATCCGAATCGTTCGTCAAGATTTTAAATATAATTTTAAACAACTGCGATTCAAAGTATGTAAGGTATCTAATTATTCTCATTCTGAATGAAAATTTCGAATAACGAACAAAAGACGAGTAACTTTTTCCCCCGTTGCGCGTCGAACAACAATTAGAATTTTAGGTGTGGAATGAAACTGTCGTGGGAATCGAATCGAATTTTGTTCGTCTATGTAAGTTTCTTTAGGTGTTTATAGAATTTAAGATGCGCGTGATAAGATGTGCGTGATACATAGTAATATATTCAAGTTACTCCAGCAATATGTTAATATAACATCTTTGCGGATAAAAATCAGCAGAAGTGTTTCTTTTGTTCATTCGTTGTTACGTGCATTTTACATAATTCCATCACCTAACGTTCTATGTTCCAGCACTCAACACGCTTTTGTGCGATTATCAAACTTTTTAATATAATTTTAATCCGTGTTTCAAGGTATACAAGGTATAACAATTTCAGTAATTATCTAATTGCGGGATTTCCCAGGCCTTCGATGTGTTTGAAACGTACGATTTAGTATATCAGTGCATAATATATCAAATTTGATACTTTTGGAAGTGAAATCTGCAGAACCGTTTCTTCTATTATTTAACGCGACCCTTAATTCTCGTGTCCCCCAAATACGCTTTCGACTTTGCACCTTACTTAATTTACGAGTGCAATACATCTCGATCCTCTCGAATACCTGAATCGTTCGAATATCTAAACATTCTGTTTTCGGCGGTCAACGCGCCAAAGTATTCGAAGTTTGGGTTAATAACAGCATGTAGCTCGCTGTGAACGTATACTTATCTTTGCATTGCATTCGACTCTGGGTGGGTAAGACGTATCATTATTATAATTACTATCCGATCTCGTTAACACCTATCGCGGAAAGTAGGTATTTCGTGCGGCTCTTTAACATAATTCCGTTTAATATAATAAAAAAAAAAAAAAAAACATAATTCCGTTTAGATATAAACATTGGGTTAGGTTGTAGAACGGTCTTCTTCGCTGAAGAATACTTTCTGTAGGTACTTTGTTTCCTCTACAATTTTTATAATATTTTTTTAGATATATGTTATTACAATTTGTTTAGCATTTTCAATTTTTAACGACTTCTTTCTCGTTGTTATTTTGGCTCCAATAAACGGTTGACTGGAAACCGTGTATTTCTGGTGTACACATTTTAAGGGTTGATCTCGTCAATAATTTTTCGTTCGATTATTCGACTCGAATAGGATTGATTTGCCAAATGTTTAGAAATTTCTATTCCACGCAACGTTTTGCACATCTTATTCGGCTCGAGTGGCTCGCGATGCTTTTGTGCGGTTCTAGCGTACACGAGTCTCGTTGCGGAGACTATTATCAGTCCGTTGATCACATTTACCAGCAAACATTATACACCAGCAGTTAGCTACAGCGAGCAAATTAATCGCGGAATACACCCTGTATTGCGAATGCAAACCACTGTTTAGCATTTATCAGCCACGCACGGTCGTTGCTTCCACGGTAGCCGTATTAAAAAAAAAAAAAGAAAAAAAGGAAAAAGAAAAAAAAAGAAAAAGCGGCCTTTATGCTCGACCGAACATCCCGGGCGTAGTTGCGCCTAGGATGAGGGAAAAAAGGGAGAATGAGCAACGGCGGTGGTGGAGGAGGAGTCCGATGGCAGTACAACAATATGATTATACGGCGTGCTGCACCGGTTTTCTGCAGCAGCTGCCGTCGTTTTAGGGGATCGGACAGAAACGGACGACGGAGGGCCGTTCTGGTGAAGTGGTGCACTGTCACGGATGGTGCTGGTAGTGGTAGTGAGAGGCAGGTGGGGTGGGGGGTTGCAGGAGGGGGTCGGAAGAGAACGCGAGGCCCACTTCGCAGGGTCTGCTCGCCCAATGCTTCGCACAATACGAGCGCGAGAAAGAGCCAGGAAAGGAGGAAAGAGGAAAAAAGTGAAAGAGGGCCCCGGTCTCTACCTCCTCTATCCTTGCCCTGCAGCATTGCAGAAATTCGAAAGCCGAGCCGGACGAAAAGTACCCTGCTACCTAGGCCCCCGAGCTGTTCCCTGCTCCATCGCGACGAGACCGACCTGGGCTCCCTTTTCAGGCCGTTACCGAGCCTTGAATGGAGGTCAGGGTCCCTTCTCCTCGCCCTTTTCTTCGCTCGAGGTACCTTAGGCGCGTCCTTCTTTCGATCACGCCGGTCCTGCCTGTTCTTCCTCTTTTTGCCACCGGCTCGCCGGTTTTCCCCCGAGCGCACGCAAGGGGCTCTCTCTGCTTCCGCGCGCGAAGGGGATTCCGATCCGTTCCCTTTTGTCCACGCGCGCGCACACAGAGAGAGGAGTCATCGATTCGAGGGAATCGGGAGATGAGCGTGTGGAAGAACGGTACCACGGGCCATCCAAAGGGATGAGCTGTTTATTTTCGTCCTTCTCTCGATGACATACGACGCAGGGTAGACGCAGCTCGAACATGGCCGAGCGCGCGCGTCTGTTTGCGCATTTTGCGTGGATTCACCGTGGAGCGACGCGATTCGTTGAAGGGTCGCGCGCGTTACCGAACCTTCGATCCTCCAAGCCCGGATCTACGCTTTCGCCTGGCTCCCACAGACGAATTTTATACCCATCCTTTCGTCATTCAAAAATAGAGTCGATATCAACTACAATAAAGCATACTTAAAGTGTTCGTAAATGCTTCTCAATTTTTTTTACTCGAATTATAGCAAAATTTTATCACTCGTGAAACAATCGTGGAGGTCTGATCTTCGTTTTCATCCCTTTTCTCGTGTTGTGTTTCAGCTTGGGGAAGCGGAGTCGATATCAATAATAATAAAACATATTTAAACCGTTTATAAATACTACCTTTTGTGTCTTAGTTGGGGGTGTCTAATTTTGTTTCTTGTTTCTCAACTATTGGAACGAAGTACATTTCTTTTTATAGCTCGATTCGTTCTGTTTTAGGTTAATATTGTATTTCAAATTGCATGGAATATTGAAACTTATAGTCTAGTATCAATCTTTATATTCATAAAATGTTTTCGGTTGTGATTTATAACGATCATGTAATATATATGATATAAATAATGATAGAGTCGTGGAGACAAACAATTTACATTTGAACAATATTATACATTTTTATTCCTCTCATTACTGTATCATTATTATTGCAGGGGTAATATCACAGTTGAGAACGTTTTATATCTTGAGCAAATTATCGCAGCTGTTACTACGAATTAGTTGAAACATTAAACAGCAAAACAGAACATAACTACTTAACGAATTCATAATTATACCTAATTTCATTCTGTAATTCATACCGTAATTTTTGTTTAACAAGAAGTGCATCGATCATTTACTCGTTATTCGAAGTGTTTATGTTATCGGTTGCCGAGTGCAACTTTTGAAATTGAAACTTTTTGGTGAATTTTTCAGATACTCAAGTGGCCCGGTCGCCTAAATGCTGCTGAGTCTGTGACGTTGATTCGAATTCGTGCCAAGTACCAAAGAAGGTGTCAAAATTGAGCAAGTAGTCCTTTCATCCGGCGGTGATCTCGCCAAAATTTGGAGGATGTTGATGCCTGGTGCCGCTGGTCTCAGTACCGTCGGCACTGTGGGTGCCGTCGGGGCGCCAGGGCCGGACGAGCTAGTCTCGAGTCTGGGCGCTTTGGCTGGCACTACGCCTCAACAGAAGGACACCACATGGACGAAACTCTTCGTCGGTGGTTTACCTTATCACACCACCGACAAAAGTCTCAGGGAACATTTCAACGTGTACGGCGACATCGAGGAGGCCGTGGTCATCACCGACAGGCAAACTGGGAAAAGTAGAGGCTATGGTTTCGTAAGTGTTGTAAAAACAGATGCTTGGTTTGTTCGATTTTCTGTAGCCTTTGCCGATTGATAGTTGTGAACTGCTTTCAGTTTGGAAATACCTTGAATAGCTCTCAGTTCTTGATTGAACACCATCAGAGATGGGTGCAATTTATTCGATCAATAATTCAATTTTTATCTATTCGTTGTGAAATATTTTTATTTAACCCCTTGCCATACTACTTACTCATCATCAAGTCTTATCTATTAAAATCTATTAAAATCGATTTACATTCACGAGGTATTCGTAAAACAAATCTATTCTCTCTCGTGGCAATATTAAATGGTACACGTTTGAATAATTATTTGAAATTAAATCGTACGTCAAGGGGTTAATAAACGATCTAGATTAGAATTTTGTCCATCTCTGGCTTGTAATTTAGACCTTTGTCGGTTAGATTTTGTAGCATATTTTTTTTAACGAACGACCGTATTAAGCGATTAACTATTTCAGATTTTCTTTTCTTTTCCCTGTACAAGTATATTATTTAATATTTACTCTCTCGCGTTATTTGTTATCGAGCACTGTGCTTCTTTAAAAACGTAGTAAAGTATTGCATTTACTCATGGAAAGAGTAAAAAATTTTCCAGTCCTCGTTTACTGTTGTATTCGCTGAAACGAATGAGTCAAGTGAGTACGCAAAGATAGTACTATTTATTACGATAACGAAACCAGTTTGTACACTCGTATCTAGAGGACGCGTTTCGTAGGCTTTCCGTTGACGATAATATCCTTTCTTCCGTGAAGGTGTGCACAGTAGTTGTAACTAATCCATCAGTTTTCCCTTTGTCTCTGTAGAATTATTAGAAAAACAATTTTTCGATAATTTTACGTGTACACTGCTTTTTGTAAATTTGGAGCACCCTTCGAATTTCGTTGAAACCTCTAATACTTGCTTATAATTATAATTTTTATCTCAGGATAAAGTTTAATTTCAGATGATAATTATTGGTCTTGTTTAAAGAGACTGATACATTTTGAAGATCGAAAGGTGCTCGAAACCGTTGCAAAACAGTGTATCATCGAGACAAACTATTGGTGTAGTTAAATATACGCAGAGATTTACGAAATGGTGTAATAGTTGTATTATTGCAATCGATACGCAAGAACGACGTTAATAATAATAATAGTGGTAAGAATAATAAATGGTCCGTCGACGGAGGGGTCGAACCGACGGTAAACGTTACCGGAAATACCCGGATTTTACGTACAAGGTACATACAGGAGTTCGTGTACCGTTTATAAAGGGGGAGAAGTGCAAGATCCAGGTGGAGCAGCGGGATTAGTCGAATAATCGATCGGATCTGCACGCAGGTGATCATGGGAGACAGACCGGCAGCGGAGAGGGCGTGCAAAGACCCCAACCCCATAATCGACGGTCGCAAAGCAAACGTCAACCTGGCGATTCTTGGAGCTAAGCCCAGGGGTAATCTACAAGCGAGTAAGTTTGCTTAGCAATGTACGGTCATTGAGTGTACGTGGATTGTGCGAAGCATTAGATGCCGATTCAGTAGTTAGATAGCGTTGTTTGAACTGTTACTGCTCGAGTGACTTTCTGCTTTGACTTCGATGGACGTTCCAGTACCGATTTCTTAACCACCCTGTCGAGTGTCTTCGATAATCCATTTTATGCGCTGCAACGTATTCTTACTTCGCCGGTTACAGTCGCGAAAATATATTGAAAACTTTTGATTTACTTTTTTTGTAACGATGGTAGCTAACAAATACTATCGATCAATCGATAATCACGCTTCGATGTTACACCTGTATTTATTTTTCATTCGTGTTCACTGGAATTCTTCGAAACGTTTAAAGATAGATTTCTAAGTTTTGTTCAATGGTTGGAATAAGTTATTATTTTTTGTGCACATTGTAGGTGTCGATTTTTGAAATTTATCTACGGTGTAATTTCACTGTATCCTTGATACGTTTAAGAAAATAAGACGTAAGAAGTCGTAGGAGTAACGCGTTTCGGGGTCTCGAAATCGTCAAGAAATTGTGCTCGCTATTTCTAAACTGTCTCTTGGTCCGCGTTACGGTACTGTCACGGGTTTTACCCTGTTGAAACATAGCCAGATCGGCGAATCTCAATCGTCGCAGTAACGGACGATATACTTCTTGGACGACGAGGGCGGTTCTTGATGCGTCGAGGGCGTACGTCCAACGCCAGATGACATATCGTCGCGACAGCGTTCCGTTAATGGAAAATTAATTTTGACGTCAATTAGGAAACAATGACGTTCGGCGTTCCCGACGAAAACATCCTGTCTAATTTAGCTCTCGGTTCGAAATCAAACTCGCTGACAGACAAACAGTCCTCTTACGCAATTCTATCCTACGAGCTTCGAACTCGACTCCGAAGCAGAGAGCAAAATTCCTATTTACAGAAAAATAAATAGTAGAAGACTGTTCGTCCTTTCAATTGGGATTTTTAGAAAAATTCAACTCCGATGTATACGTTGATCTTTGTTGGCGATTTCGAATAAAATTTTGTCCGTCTCCGCTCGAAAGGGCGAAGGACAGTTTCACGAACATCGACCGTGCAGATCGAGAACCGTCCCCTGAGTCATTCTCCTCAAATTCTTACGGTGGCTTCAGGCCAACATAGCTTGGCGCTTCGGCACCTAAGTCTAAAATTGCCTTAACCCGAGTACCGAGTCCGCCTTTGTTTCTTTTCTTTCGGGCGCAAAAATCGCTTCTGGTTTGGAATCGGTCGGCTGCGTTTAATATTAGATGCGTTCGCAGCTAGTGCAATCTATTGCCCCATTTTTTTTCTGACCCACGACGTTGCAATGGGATCGAACGAAACGGTCGAAAGTTTTAATCGATTGTTCCGCGCGAATTTTGAAATTTCTCCTATTTCTCCGGGCACCGTCCATCGTTCGTAGCAGAACGTACCTCGAGGCCCGTTAAAATCGTTTTACAACGCGTTTTCTTGCCGGGTCTCTAGACAGTCGGGAATTAAAGTGTTCGCAAAGAACAGGATGTTCGATTTACACGAACAGGGCCTGGTGTACACGGACACACACGGGCGCTGGAGTTCAGGGCTGGCCATTAGAAACGTAAATAGGATTGACTCCGAACTGTTTATGATTTCAGCATTCCCGTTCGCTGCTGGCATTCGAGCTGGATACCCCGCGGTTCTTCCCGGCCAATATGGGTGAGTCCACAGTTGATGTGATTTCTTTTTTTCGTTTCTTTCGAATTATAGTAAGAGCGTAAATGTTGTTACCGTAGTTGTCGAAAAGTTAAGCGTAAGTCGAGAAAGGAGTCCTCGCGATCATTCGGGTTACGCGATATCGAGTTTTCAAATTGCATCGCTTTAAACGTATGATTATACGAAACATGTTTTTCGCATTAGAAACGCGGTATTATTCAAACTTTCGTACATTTTTTTTTTTCTCATCAGCGACGAGTCACTCAGTCGTTTTTTTCAAACACGAAATCGTGAAGCACAGGGTATCCCAACGGGAGACTAGGAAACGTGTTTGAAAATAATATATTTTTAGTATAGATTATTTCGTGTTCGTTGACTGTCAAGCTAATCGTGTAGAAATAGAAACTTTCTATATTCTTGTCACGCGATTGAGAACTAGTAATATAAAATGGAATTTGAGTTCTTCGTGAATCTATTTAATGATTTAAAATAAAAAGACCAATGCAGTATTATAGCCATACTCTATGCACAGTTGAATACATGTTAACGTTTCTCACGAGATGAAAAGTAATTATTATCGTCCATGGTTTTGGAAATCTGAGAGAAGATAGACGGTCCTATTTCTCGCTGGATACCCTGTACACGAGCGAATTTTTCTCTGATTTTTCTTGATACGGTCGTTTCGTATTCGCCGGAAATCAGGGAACAATTTCAGGGAACCGACGAATGTCGCAAGGAGTCGATAGAATAAAATGAAATAAAGTACTGGAAATTCGGGAAGAGGGGTACTCGGTTGAATAATGTTATTAACACTTTTGTTAAAGATAGACTGTATATAACGTTTCAGCATCCTGACGCGTGCGCGTAAGGGGGCAGGCTGAGAGTCCTCTTTGCGAGATCCTTGAGAGCGCCAAGGGCTGTTCTAAGGAGCGCGAATAACAAAAAAAAAAAAAACAAAGCAAAACAAAACAGAAATACCAAAAGAGAGCACACACAGAAAGAGAAACAGTTACAAAACTAGAGAAAGTGTGAACGAAAAAAAAAAACGATAAAAAAAAGAAAGATATTTGCAATCGGTGAAAGAGAGAGAGAGAGAAAGAGAGGGAGGGCGAGAGAAAGAAAGCGGCACACGCACACGTATCGGAAGCCATGAGTACCCACGAATTTATTTCTACGAAATGAAAAGTTCTTCCGAGGATAAATCGGTCTCTTCTTCTTCTACTGTACTTCTATAATTTTTTTCTTTTTTTTTTTAATTTTGGTTGTGTTTTTTGTTTCTACTTTCTTGATGAGATTGACGTGAAGTGATATAATGACGATTGCGGTTGCTGAGAGATTTGTTTGTTACTGGTTTTGACTTTGTTGGTCTTTACTCTTTTACACTCTTTTTCTTAATCAGCATAATCATAATAATCGTAATAATAATGAATAATAATATTAATAATAATAGTGATAGTAATAATAATAATAATAATATTAATTTGTAACAACGACGGTGGCGCAGTGATCACGATCTCAATAGGAATTTGTCCGATCGATTAGTTGTCTCGGACGATCGAGGTGACAAAAACGAGGCATCGTAACACAGTTTTCTCCTCGGAGGTTGAAAGTTTGCTGTTAAATATCCCCCGGGTCGACCATCGGCGGGGACATTTATCGGCAAGCATCGGAATATTTGACCACGGTTTAAACAGATTCTTAATATTTTTTTCATTGCACCTTTAATGGTCTTATTCTCTTCACCTTGTTTTACCTTTTTTACATCGAGTGTGTTTCGTCAAGTATTCTGTTTCTTTTTTAAGTTTACGTGTGCACTGTTTTCAGTTTTGTTTTCTTACATTGTTTTACTTTTTCCTTTTTAATCGTTTTGGTTTGCCTTTGGTGGCGGGTATTCGCCGATTTTCCGAAATTCCGGAACACAGGGCGAACGTTCGCGTCGGCTTCTTTACGATACATTAGGCGTGGGATCAAGTTCGATACATGCTCGGGAATCTGTACCAAAAGTTAGGGTTGCAACAGTATTTGGTTGTAGCTTAAAAGAAATAAAGTATAACTGAACAACTTAGAAAGTATCCTTACAGAAATTCTTTAGAAACCAGTTGTTCTAAATTTTAAAATTGATTTCCTCAATACAAATGTAATAGAATGTATACATTGGATAAAACAATCTTCAAATACGTGTTAGTTTCCTGCTCTCTAACAATGTTGCTTCAAAATGTCCGTCTACAAAGGGGTATTACGATGTCGATCAGTGTGTTAAACAGTATCAGATGATAGTTCGTGATAGTTACGTAATTTTACATCTCACTGTTTGGTCTCGTTCCCATTCAGCTCGGATGGTCGAGCATCTTTTTTAAGTTGTCGAGCTATACATCCACTTTCGAATGATTTCACAAAAACTGTGATAGTTTTATTTAATTATATATTACACATATTCTTCATTTTCCGAAATAGCATCTTACAATTTTGTCCAAGGGAAGTTGTATTATTTTGGTCTAAATTAAAAATAAATTATATATTAAGCTCTTAAAATTCTTCTGCTGAAATAGTTACAAAGTATTCAGAATCTATTTCATTCAATTTTTTAGCAATCAACAATACAGTGTTTCCCTTCCCTAACACGTGACTATCGATAGTGTGTTTATCAAATATTTGCTAATTTAACCATTCGGAGCTAGATTCGTCTGAAATTATCTAACAACCTAAACGTTTCGATCTATACTTTGGTCCTATTCGCGAGTGTAAACGAGGTTAAGAAAACCGCGTGTTTCAACTCAGTCCGCGTCTCGTGAGCATCGTAAATCATACTAATAATATGAAAATTAACCCTAATCCGACCGGGATAAGATTTTGGATCACAAACGAAGCTCGAACAACCGTTGGATCTTTAAATAAATTGACGTACTAATGATATTTTATATATTATTAATCATCTGCGGGTCTCTGGATACGCTAAACAATATATTCTTATCGTTCTCTAATTTAAAATGAGATTTCGAGTTTCTGTTACAACTGAATACTGTAGATCCCTATTTATCGAGTTCGTGCAGACGTTGAATGTAAATTGAAGTTGTACGCAGGGTTCCAAACAATTCGATTAGGATTCGGAGGTGTTTGTATGGCGCTTGATCCCATCGCTATTGGAGATCCACGATATTTGGGCGATCGTTCGTGCGGAAACAGTACAGCGAACGATTCTAAATATTTATTCGCGAGGCGTGTAGCCAAGCCGTAGAATACCGTTTCTGTTTCGCGGGCGATTTCGACTTTTCTGGCTCGATGGAAACTGATCGGCGAAATCGAACGCTCGTTTTTGGCGAATCGACCGTCGATGGTGAAACGCACGAAAAACGGTAGACCGATGAACCGTACGCGGGTAGAGCTTCGTTGAATTATTGAACGGCACGGTCGATTCTTCGTAGCGGTGGATCTTCCGTGTTTTTCACCGGAAATCGACCAGCGACCGCCGCGAAACACGACAATGCCCGTTAATTTTTCATCGCGACGATCGATTTTATCGCGGTTTACCTCGTTTGGCCCGGCCAGATTCTTCGGCGTGGCGTTGAAATTCGTCGAGATAAAAAGAAAGGAAGAAAAGACGGAAACTCATTGTCCTCAAAATGTTTGGAGCACCCTCTCTATAGAAACAATGCTCTTTCTCGTGTACGTGTGTGCATAATATATGATTAAAAAAGATTGTAAAACATTCGTTGCTATGAAACTCTCACTATCTCTTTAAAGATTTGAGTCGTGTTCGTAAATCGTCTGAAAAATCTGATTTAACTAGATTGAATTCAGTAATAAATGGTAAATGTATAAGTTAAACAAAGGAAAAAAAATCGAAGTGTACTTCAAGCTTTGGAGTGGCAGTGTACGTATTAGGATGTTCCAGAAACCATTCGAAGGGACTATAATTATCCTAACCTACTCTACGCGTATTAATAGATCATTGAAAAGCTCTTTTTACGCCAATTACGGGTTTGTTATTTTTAGAATCAGTCAAGAAATAATCCAAGTTCCCCAAAACTATCTGTAACATCATCTATTTATTTCAAAAATTTTATTTAACGCTTCTATTGCACAGAGTTTATAGCATCGTACGCGTAAAGTAAACATTTACCACGAAGGATAATATACAAGAAAATAAAACGTGGGAAGAAACGCAATACCTCCGAGCGGGTGCTGTTTCCAAACCTAATCTCAAAAACGCACGTAGGAAAAAGACGTTGAAACGCAAATATACAACGGTAATAATACGAGTTAAACAAATAAGAAATAATACCGCGCGATGTATACTCTTAGACTTTGAATCGCCTCCTTGGAGCAATGGCGTGGACAACTTTTTAAACGCGGAGGTGATTCACAGTCGTGACGACATTAAACGTGGACGTAGTCACTTGCATTCAAAGAACCAGCTCGGCATTGCAGAATAATGCATTTGGTTTTTAAACGATCGCGGAAGACCATAGGTCGTTAAGCGCGTAATTAATTTTCGTTGCAGCTTGGTGAACTCTAGTCTTGAAACGCGCAATGTTTCCTGGGACATCCTAACGCGAGTTCACGTTTCCTCGATATCATTCTACTCCGTTGCTACGGGATCGCGTAAACTCGAACGCGTTCGAACACTTTGATCGCAGGAATAAAAATGATATTATTTAATATGTGATAATCAATGTCGTTGAGACAAAATTGGGATTATTCGTCGAGTGTACAGGCTCCGCTAACCATTATAATATTAATAACCTTGTGTGTGTGATGAAGGCTTACACTACACTTGGTGTCGCTATTGGTGTTGTATTTTTTGGTGTTGTACGTGGTGGTTGTTGGACTTTAATATAACACGGCGTACCGTTTGTCGTTAGGGAACGAAAACGAGGCGAACTTATCAATAATTGGTCGTGTACGTACGCGTATGCATAATATTACGATAACGCAACGTGTGAAAATTACGTACGCGAGTTAAATGCCCGAGAATACGTTGAATTCCGTTCGTCATGCTATTC